TAGATAGGCCCATTTTCGAGCTCCGTATCGAAATGTTATGAAGCACCTTTCAGAATGAAAGATTCTACATAAAACAGTTCGAAATAATACATAAATTTTTTGAAGTTTTAACTAGATTGTACAAATGATAATAGGTTATTGATTGTTTGAAACATCAGCAATCATTGCAGTACTTGGAAATTCTCTTATGGGGTGGGAGAGTTTATTAAAGCATGCTTCCGAAGATCAATGAAAAGCAGCAATATATACTAAATTGTACCTATGTAACAATTTAATCGGGAGTACTTAAAACAATCTTGAGGGGTTTTGGAGTACCCCATACAGCCCCACGCACTACGCCAATATTAATAATGTAAAACATTTTAACACAAAATTAGCTCAACTTCAAAATTTGATTACTGCTGATATGTTGAACAATTTCACCTAATATCTCCCATTACGACAGGTGTACATGAAAATTTAGATTGCGTTGACGTAAAACTCAACTTGTTTATAGTTCTGTCACTAAAAGCTCAGCTCCATTGATAGTAACAGGTAATACGATAGTCCCCGACACCGATAAAGCCCTCTAGCGGTGCATTTTGACGGTTCGATTGGAACAACTTTTGACAGACGTCCATACTTTTACTGTAGGGCTTTAGACACCGATGGTACGATCAATCAGTTAAAACATCAAAGTTGACCATTTTGTATGGTAAAGGGTGTACCGTTTAAAATCCGCACACACTCAAATTGCTCTAACTTTTGATCCGTTTTGTAAAATTAATTGAAATTTTGCGTAAATATAGTTTAATGTGTATTGTTGACAATCTGTTCATCAATTTTCAAAAATGGCGACGAAAAAGTTTTCAAATGGCGACGAAAGAACAGTGCGTGCGCGAAAAAGTTTTGCACGCGTACTTTGATAATAAGGATCTGTCGCATCGTGCCATCGGAAAAAAAAAACAGTTGGAAATCGCGAATTCCACGGTACCAGAACGTCTGACTGTTGATCGGAAGTGAAGATCCGGAAAAAAGCCGTAAGGTGAACGAGAACGATCACAAACGCGTGGTTGGGCCTTTAAACGGAAACCGAACGCCTCAGTTCGAGATGTGGCTAAAAATTTGCATGTGAGCCAGACTTTCGTTCAGAATACCAAAACTCGAGCTGGAATACGTACGTTTAAGGTTCAGAAGTCCCCAAACCATGACAAGAAACAGAATACGGGCGCAAAAAGCCGTTCCCGGAAGTTGTAAGACCAGAAGTTAACGAAACCACACTGCTGCGTAATAAATGACGAGACATATGTGAAGGCAGACTTCAACCAGATTCCAGGAAACCTGTTTGTGACTGCCAAGGATAAGTGTGAAGTTCCCAAGAACCTTCGGACACAGAAGATGTCGAAGTTCGCCAAAAAGTTCTTAATTTGGCAAGCGATTTGTATTTGCGGAAAGCATAGTACACCTTCCGCTACCACAAACACCATGAATGCACAGGTGTATTTGGAAGAGTGTCTCCAAAAGCGGCTTCTCCCTCTCCTGAAGGCTCACGACGGTCTGACGATCTTCTGGCCGGATTTGGCATCATGCCACAACACGAAGGACGTGCTAGAAGGGTATAAGGCGAATGATGTCGACTTCGTGCCGAAAGATCTGAACCCTCCAAACACTCCGGAACTGCGCCCAATAGAAAAATATTGGGTCATTATGAAGGAGCATCTTCTAAAACGACCTAAAGTGGTGAAGAATGTAGAGGAAATGAAGAAAGCATGGGTTAACATGAAAAAAATTGGAGGGTGGTGGACAAGACACGACCGCATTGTTGACGTAGGACAACGAATTTTTTGTTCGATTTTCTAGTAATGAGGAAAAATTCCCCTATCTTAGGGTAGTGTTAAAATGCTTGGGCGAGCTACGCCAAATTGTCGATCAAATGTATTGTTTACAAAACCTGATACGTCCTTCGAAAAAGTAATCGAGAATTCTTCCTTCTATGGCCCCTGTACATAAGGCGCCCCTGAGTGATGCCTCATAGCTTCGTCCAGCTCGACTGTCTGACTGAACAAGTGGAAGCGATTTGACAGACGTGATGATGATTTCCGTTGCTTTTCCTGTCTCTCCCCCCTCTGTTAAATGTTATGACCGAGCTCCGACTTGCTCAACAGAAGTATTCTGAAAACGACATCCCTTTCCGCTGCTCTTCCTTTCCCTCCGACCAACTCGACTATTTGGCAGCAACTGATAGTGGACCCAGACAACCAGAAGTCATATAACAATGTGCAGACAGTATCGTAAATTGCTACAGTTTATGTCAAAATCGCATATAAGAATGAGATGCATCGCATTATGTTTAAGTTAAATCGTATGGAATGCAAATTTCCGACCTCTATGCGATGATTCATTTTTTCGTCGTTCTGTATCACAAATCAAATCGGATTACATCGCAAGACTTTTAAAAGTGAATTTGTTATTACAGATTAAATCGTGTATGATGTTAAATCAACTCGTTTACAATTAAATTAAAATTTTCACGTATATGGCCTCCACTTGTGTACGTATAAGCCATTTCTTTGCATTCTATACGATTTGTTTGTTTGTATATATGTTTGTATATCACGAAAACAACTTTGAATATACGTGCATTCTGGTTGTCTGGGGAAGCTTCTTTGGACTTTAAATGATCTTTATTTCTTGTATTTGTGTGGTTTACATGTATGACTTATCAAGTGACACAGTGACGAATTCCATGCACCCGACGTTCATCAGGAAACTGATGGTGGATCTCTTTCCCCAAACGTACCGGCAGATCGGGGTGGCTAGGCTCACACGTGGACAGCGCCTGTTCTTATCCTGGTCTGTTGGCATGTGGCTCGATGTTGTCCCGAACTACTCCAGCAATCGGACGTGGCGTTTTGTCGGAACGAAACTTGCATACGTCTGCAGCTCATTGCAGTGGCAGGCGTATGAAGAAAACGATTTCGTTACCGGCAACCTGCACACGATCAATTTGCCATGTTCGATTGCTGTTGTTGCTAGGAACAAGCACCGACGCCTAGCCAACAACGACGGTGATAGTGGAAGCGATTTGGGAAACCCTTTTGTAGAAGAAAATTTAATTGTTAACTATTTAAATATTTCAGAATTATACCGTGTGACATACCACACAAACTGTATAACACTGGTAAATCTATCGACATACAAAGCATCAAAATCCATTAGTTATTGGCCAAGTTATTAGCATTTAAACTCTGACCAATTTTCGTTGCATTTCCCTGAAGACGTAGTCCTACGTCAAAAACAACAAGGGACAGCCCTATGGAGTTGTACGCAATGGTGACGTAAGACTACGTGGTCCTGTATAATAAATCTTAGTTGTTAACTGCAGCAGGAGCTTTTGTTTTGTGTAGGAATATGAATTTGAGCGGAGTCTCTCTGTTTATACTCTTTAGTATGACGCGCTTGGAATAAATAGCCCACAGCAACTCACAAAGAGCTACTCCGATCAATAGCGGTGCGGCTTCTTCCTCCTTCTATGGATGCCCATGTGGGCTGCAGCTCGCTGCTTGCAGGCAGCCTTTCGTTGTGTTCTGGAGAACAATGTTCAATCCCATGTGCCGAAAGCACTGCTGCTGCTGATGATGATGATGCCGATGAGACCAGCCTTGATAGCTATCTGCTTGCGGGAGCCTTTCGTTGTGTACTGAAGAACACCACCACTCACCACGCGGTGACTGAATAAACACCATTTGATGAGACCGGATGCAATTCAACTTTGAAATCTGTATTAGGGAAATCACTTTTCGCAGGCAATCGGTGATAATTTTTACTATCATAGCAACAGTTGCACATTCGTACAATTTTCAACAGTGATATTTTGAAAAATGATAATGCCTTAAATTAAGCAGATGCGCAGAAATATTTCTGATCTATTGGTGGTAAATTTATTGAAATTGGTCCCCCATATAGAAATTAAAGACGTAATCCGACGTTAAAACTGTCGATTTTGAGGTCGTGCAGAACCTTATGGCTGGGGTTAAGGCCAAGGTTCGTGCATCCGGATATAAAGGGGAAATAAATTAAATGAATGATGCCAAAACTAACTTTAATTGATTCTTTTTACTCCCTGAAAATTTGGTGATAATCGTATAAAAACTAGAATTTGGAGAATTAATGTTGTGTGTGCGAATTTTAAACGGTACATTCTTTATAACTCCTCCACAGGTATATGAAGCAAAACTGTATATTCACAGGCGTATCAGATAGCATGTCACAGTCTTCAGCAAAGTTGGGTCATTTTATGTAATTAAACATTTTTACAAACGAATAATGTCTCTCAAATGGATGTGGTACTGAAGAAATACCGATTTTTAAGCCATAAAATCTCAATATTTTATTTACTCTTACACAGTAGGCAAAAATTGTCCCTCCCTCTTTTTGCTCCGCTCTGTTCATCAATGCATGAAAAATCTCATTACGGTAAATATTAGATTTTGGGAATAATTGTCCCATTTTGAGATTTGACTTATTTGAGATAAGAGATTTGTACATCATGCTTTGAAGAAATTAACCCATGTATCTTTTGTGGATTACTAGATAGCGTATTGACTGTTTTCTGAAAAATTGTGTTTTTGTGAAATAAAAAACTTTCCTGGACAAAGTATGCATTGGATAAATCAAACAAAAAAGTTAAAACCGATAAATCGATTTTAAGGGTGCTTTGGAGTTTTGAGAAACTTTAAATTTATCAACTAAGGTCGAATTTTGCTCCACCTTACTCTACTGGATTATTTTACTAGAAGTAATAGAAAAACAAAAAAAAAATAGACAAATGTTTAGTCTTAATTTTCTCACTATGACGATTTTACAAATGAGACTGATATGCGAGTATCGGCAGCTTACCAATAGATGAAGAAATGCCTCTTCTATTCGATGGTTTTGACTGTCGAGTGGCGAGAGTCATGTACATAAAGTTAAAGTATACTTGTATACAAAATCATGTTTTTTTTGTTTTCAATTTCCAGATCAACCTTTTTGCACTGCTATCGACGCTCTACCCGGGAACTTCAGCCGTAGGCTCCTACGTCGACAATGCCATCGAACAGCAGCACAAGGTTATCAACGAGATGAATCAAAACTTTACCGATCTGGAAAAAGCCAGCGAAAAACTAATCAACCTGGGCACATTCGTCGGAAGCCACAAAGTCCCTCCCAAAATTGTCAAAATTACCAATACCATAGCGGTGAAGGTTCCGGTGCCATACCCGGTCAAAATTCCACACCCCGTGCCAGTTCCGGTTCCGGTCAACAGGCCGGTGCCATATCCGGTTCCAAAGGTCATCAAAATCCCGGATCCAACTCCAACACCCACGGCACCAAGCTATGCAACCACACCGGAGTCACTACCAACGCCGGCAGCGTTAACAAGCAGATCGCTGGAATCAACCGGTGCATCTCATCTGCTTATTGGGGAGCAAGAAACGGCACATTCGACTAACAATGAGCAGCTTCAAGAATTTGTACATTCCTATCCGGTGCATTCGGTGTACGATGTAGGAGTAGACTACAATCCGTACATGGGAAATAAGTTGACTTTCTCGAAGCAAACTGGTGCAGCCTCGGAATCGCAACCAATCAAGTACCATGGGTCGGACTCGCAGCAGTTGCATGAATACAGAGAACCAAGGCAGAAATATTCGAACAACAAACATAATTATGCCGGTTATCGTTCTTCGGCTAAGCTGCAAGCAACTGCGAGGCCGACTCATACATATACCGAGTACGCTTATTCAACCGGTCAACCGGAATCGGCTCCTTCCACTGGCCAAGGCTTCCAACCGGAGGTGATTCCGAATTCCTACAAGTCTCCCACTAAATCATCGTATTTTTCGAAAGAATACGAGAAATATCCCACTCCCAAATTTCCAAGACCAACTAGCTCTTCGTTCCCCACTAGTCCAACTTTCAGTACCCAAGATTCTTCGTACGCGAGAGAAGAGAATCATTTTGATGGTAACAGCTTCAAGGAATACCACCATAAGCCTTCCTCGACGGGAACCTCCTTCCATACAGTCAAAGAATCTTACCCACGGTACGAACAACCAAATTTGAAACAGTACCACTACCAGAAACCTACTGCTGAAAGCTACATTAGACTCTCTGAAAACACAGGTCTTCATCACAAATCCCAAAAGTATTTGGAACATTATCAAAAACCAACTGCCATGAGCTACACCACTGCATACCACGACACAGAGCACAAAGAAGCTGCAGAATCCTCTGCTCACTACAAACAGTACGAACAACACGATGAATCTTATCTGACAAATGCCGATACTTATTCTGGACATAAAAACCCTTCTGAACAATACGAAACTCATGATCTCTACGCCAAGCCCAGTGCCTCTCCCGAGGCCTACTCTCAATACGAGGCCAAAGAACCTCAATATACCCCTCAGGAGTACAAGCCATACTACGCTAAGCCAACTCCCGTTTCTGAAGCCCTCTCTTATTTGGAACAAAAAGAACCGTCTCAAAACTCCGAACACGTAGTTCACGTGAAGCCTCAAAGTTATCATTCAAAACTTTCCAAAGAGCACAAAGCTCGTTACCCTTCAAAATCAAGCACCATCCCTTACAACTTCCCTAGTGATTCCCACCTGCATCCATCCTATCACGAATCGAAACACAAGCCCCACCAATACTACTCCTCCAGCCCAGAACAACCCTCAATTGACGAAGATTCTCGTTCCGAACAAAAGTACTACCACTATCGCAGCCCAAGTCCTTCCCCTTCAACCCATATAACCTCTTACGACCATGCCTCGGCCAGCGGAACTGAGTACCAGTATGCATCACAACACCATAAAGAAGGTTCCGATATGCTCGAGTCCTCCTCGAAAGATCACCAGGCGTACGAGCGGGCAGTCGAGCAAGATCACCAAGCGACACATCCGAACGAGTACGCTGAATATAGCCACGAGCACATGCACCATCATCATCCTGCCACCGGGGACGGCGGAAGGGATTATTAAGTCGTGTTGTACAACAACTTTCCACCAACGAAACTACAGAGAGGAACACCGACAAACGGCTACGAACACGAGGGCCGGCGTGTAAACTAGTATTTATTTTTTACGTCATCCATACCCATTGCTTCAAACATTGTCTCGCGCTTCTTCACCGTACGATAGTGAAGAAAATAGCCAGAATGTAAACTGCATGTTGGCGCTTTCCTTCTTCCTTCATCGTTTTCCTCCAAGCACTACTGCCCAGTGGAAAGCAGAAGCAAAAGAAGCTACATTCATACATACATACATATACTAATAATTGTTAACTAGTTGGTAAGTAGTGTGCAATTGTTTTACAAACTGATCTATAGATTTCATGAGCAAAGCGAACAATAAAATAATAATTTATCGAGTGACTAATAAAACGGTTTTGTATTTACCTTAACTTGAGGAGAAATGCCAAATGTTTTGCTTGCAGACTGCTACCTAATGGTACAAACAAAACATGTTTTACACAACATCAGTTCCCTGGGGACAATCAATTAAGTCATGCACATAAAGAATATTCCCAGAGATGGCACTGTTTTCATTGATTTGTTTTCCATCGATCTTGTTTTCCGTACTGAGTACCAATGCTACCGACGCCAGGAAGGCAGCTCCCACACCTGGACCCTACCTATCGACCCATCAACTCAAGAACCGGGGACCAACGGCTTTACTTCCCTTGATCAGAGATGTTATGCCTCAGAAAATCCCGGCGGCGCCGACTAGGATTGAACCCAGGCCCATTGGGGTGAGAGGTAATCAAGCTTACCACTCACCACTCACCATCGGCGCCGCTGGCGCTGTTTCCTTGGTAGGCATCGTTGAAATTCAGTATGGAAGACGAGAGAAAATCTAATATTTTCAATAATCACAAGCAGCAATCAAGAATTTACGTGGCCAAGTGCATATAGTAAATATCTACTTTTCTTTCAACCTTACTTCCAAGCGAGCTTCCAAGAGCAGAAGCGTTAACTTCATAGAATTATTGGGGGGGGGGGATGGTAAAGATGGTTTGAAAAAAAAAAAGTTGACTCATGGATTTTTAGTCAAGCAAACATAGATTTAGGGTAGAGAACTACCTTGGCCTAATCGCCTATTATGGGCCTATCTAGCAGAAAACATCATATAAACCTGGCCGGCGCCGGTGGTGTAGTGGTAAGCGTGACTGCTTTCTTACCCCAATGGGTCTGGGTTCAATCCCAGTCGAGGTCGGTGGGATTTTTCTGAGGCATAAAAATCTCTGATCACGTCTTCCTTCGGAAGGGAAGTAAAGCCGTTGGTCCCGGCCCATGTGTGTTGATGAATGGGTGCGATATCCTACGCAGGTGTGGAAGCTGCCTTCCTGCAGATTCGATTGCCGTCAATGGATGGCAATCGATGTCCGTCGGTGATTGGCACTAGATTGCGGAACAGAGACCAACGTTAAATAAAGGAGAAAAAATCATATAAACCGTAAATTCGGCATAAACAAGTCATTTGTGCATTTGGTACGACACTTTAGTTCAAAAGCTACCGAACGAAGTCGATAAGAACGTGTGATATGAATGTTTGCACCCATTATTCTCAAAAACAAAAGAAGCGGTCCGACCGAATCAATTTTTATCTTCAACCAACAGGCCGAAGTAAATGGCGCTCCAATGGCGTTTCAATGCATTAGGCCGAGTTTAGAATCCGTAGGCCGAGTTTGGGGTCAAGAAGTAGTGTTAGATTTTAAAAAATATCTCAGCAGGTAAATAAATTTAAAAGGCATTTGCAAATTTAAAAGGCATTTGCAATAAAAACATTCTAGAGGCAAAGAGTGGGTTGTGCTTAGTACAGGGCTGATAGCAGTGTTAAGCAATAAAAATAGTGAATTAGTGACTAAAAGCATTTAAAAGAGTGACTAAAAAGTTACCAAAATCATTTTAAAAAGTTACCAAAATGTGACATAAACATTATCAGAAAACTTTCAGAAATAGAATCATGCAAATTGATTTGTCAGTCATCCAAAAAAGGTAGACATCGATTTCGTAGCAGTACGCATTCGTCAAAAGTTTATATTGCAAGATCTAACTAGATTAAAAACTAACAACGCTGTATAACACGACTTTCAATTTCAATAACAGAGATATTTTACCATAATTGAAATTCTTATGGTCTTCTCAATTAAAGTTTAGAATAAATCTATTTTCTAACACGTCACTCTTCTTAGATGAACTATGATGATCTCTATGCGATCTGCGAACTTGCATCACGAAGTTGCTCCGCGTTTGCTTAGTTACCTAATAATAAGACATTGCCTAATTATTTGAACTATTTCCGACCTGAGGAATGAAACGTCGAGATAGCGTTTTAAAATATTAAATGATATAGATACCCAGATCTAATTTTTGAATTACTCAAAAAAAAGCATAATTCTTCTACAACAGGAGTTGCTATTCATTCTACAGGACCGAACAAAGCTGAACAAAGGTCGACTTGGGAAAGCGACATTATAAAGGTTGAACACGAAAAAATCAGAGCTCGAAAATCTTGTTGGAGGTTTAAAATGCGTTTTATTTTTCTTAGTTCAATACAGCAGCTATACATTTGTAAGTACATATTATGCTTATTGTAAGATCATTGCTTCAGGCTTCCTTCTTACCATAGGCCATTTCTCAAACTTTTCTTTGTACAAGGCCTATCATCTTTTGCACGGGCCCTGTTCCCACTTGTTCGGCTGCCAAATCCCATTTCCGCTTGAAATCTTTCAGGCCCTTTTTTCAGTATGTGCTTCACAATTGACCAGTATTCCTCAATTGGCCTTAATTCCGGAGAGTATTGGCCGGATTCATCTCCTTGGGAACCACTGTGACCCATTTTCGCTGTACCACTGTTTGGTGGAATTTTAGTAGTGGCAGCTTGCCAAGTCCGGCAAGAATAGGCAATCCACCTCATGCTGCTCCAGAAAAGGCAGTATTCTTTTCCGTAGGCATTCCTTCTGGTAAATTAGCTGGTTCATGGTCTCAGTTTCGATTTTAATCCCACAACTGCAGATTACTTGCCAGGCAAGGAACTTTTTGGGGAGCGGATAGACCGGGATTTTCGTTTTGAGCGCGCAGGATCGGATCGCGACGTCCTTGTTCTGGTGAAGCCATGATGTAAACAAATTAACTTATCCTGGAAACCAATGCCCACTGTGATTATATACACTCTTAGCTTAATTAAGAGATTTTGAAAAAACAAATCTCAAAAAATGCCTTTATGGCAACGTTTTTATGCGTCCGCATTTTTTCGTGTCCAACCTTTAAGCTTATAAACTGTTTTAAACTGGTAAAAAATAGAATAAGACATGATGAGTAAAATATCGAGTGATCGGAATCGTTTATGAAAGATCCTTGAACTTCAATTCGCCAGATCCCAGACGACATTTTGGATCATTTAACAATTGATAGACTGACAAACAATCTTAAAATTTTGGAAATAAGAAAGTTTTCAATGCATTTTAACTTGAGAGGTGTCAGACTAATGAAAGGAAAACAAGTACCTGAATAAATCATTTGTTTTAAGATCTCTTAGATCTCTTTTGGATTTAGTTTTAATAAATTTCAGATTATTTATCTTTTTAATCTTTAAATTCGGTAGTCAATTTCATTTTTAAATAATAGTTTGGGTATGGTCTTCGATTAATTTGCGATACCTCTAACATCAAGATATTAGAAAAAAATGATTCTACAAAAAGAACTGCAAGATGCGGGAAATTTACAAATCATAGCATTAAGACACTTTTGAAGTTATCTAGCTCAATTTATAAGTTCCGAAGTGAATATTTTTTTATTTGATAAACCCTCTAGAAACTTGAGAGATAAATATAAAAAAGGAACATTGAGCACACCAAGAGAAACTTAAATCAATGCTGACTAATTTAAGCTCGTAAGACGGACCAAAAACCTATAGATCCCCTGTGCTGCCGTGAAAAGGAAAGGGTCATAGAGCTTACACGTACAAAATACAGTACTAGGGGAAATGGATGTAATATCGGCCTAAATGCCCCTAATTTGGGCCCATACATAAATTCAGCAATCAACTAAATTTTCAATAGCGACCAACAGGCATGGTCGTAGGTTTTGTTATTAGCTTTTGTTAACAAGTCAAATCCGTATCTCTTATGCATGACGAACCAGAGCGAACAGAATCCACTACTGTTTTACAGTGAATGCATTTTACATTCACTGAAAAACAGTGACAAGTTCTGCCCACTCTAGTTCGTGATGCATAAGAGATGCAGATTTGAGTTAAAAGCAAAAGTTGTTGACAATAACAAAACCTACAAAAGCTCTATTTATCATTTTGTTGAATGTTGTTGACGAAAAAAGTTAGAGGCAAATGAATGCAAATGAATGTATGAAATGAATGCAAATGATTTTCCATGCCTGGCGACCGAAAATATCTATTAGTACCGTCCCAATGACGCGTTCATGTAGATAAAATTGATAAAAATTCTGATAGGTATTATTAAATAGTGTAAAGGAAAAATATGATATTAAAAATATTACAACATCTTTAGAAAACTATTTTAATTCACTCTGCAATGCTCATTACATTATTAATAATTCTTGCTAGGATTTGCCTGAAGAATTCTTCTGAAAATTCACTTGAGTTTCACTTCAGCATTTACTTAATATTATCCTGAAATTCCCATAGAATTATCTTAGGAATATCTTTTTAGTTCTGCTATGAAATCCCAAAGATTCTGCGAAATGCAACTGGGATTCTCTTTTGAAAAAATTACACCGGAATATCCTTAGAATACTCCTCGACATCCACTTGAAATTTAGCTCAGAATTTTTTGAGGATATTCCTAAGAAATTCGTTGGAATTATTCTAAAAATTCCAATTGAATGTTTATTTTTATTTAATTCTCTTGGAATGTTTGACCGAATTCATTTGAGGTTCGATAGGAATTATACTCATATTTAATTGTAATCCTATGAATTCTCCGAAAACTCACATGAAAATAT